TTTATTGCAAAACTTATTGAAATGAACTTATTGCACATATTAAACCTGGAACTAACAAAGCTTAAATGATTGCCTATAAAAACAACATTAAACATTAAATAATCAGTTGCATTCATTTCTTATGGCTCTATCTGCAGCTTTTCCAGAGTCATTTCTTATGATTACATTTTTCCACAGGCCAACAACAGCTTCAACAAAACTGTTTCCCTCAAAGGAAAAACCAAACATGTCCTGTTGTCGTGAGAGAAAAAGTGCAGAAGGAAACATCCATGTAAACTCAGTGTGCTGCTCTGTGATGCTAGTTCAAGCCAGATACTTGGCATCTCATCTTGGGTGCAAGTTCATCAATGTTTGGGGTCAGCCTCTGAGCTGAGGAGACCCTCAGGATGGAGTGAAGGTGTACGTGCAATATACCGGTGGGCCAGATCTAATAGTAATTAGAAATTATCCTGCGGGCCGAAATTAAATCCACCAAGGGCCTGATTTGGCCCCCGGGCCTTGAGTTTGACACATGTGCTCTATAACAAAGCTTGTCAGCAGGCTTTCCTCTCATAATGTTCAACAGACAGCGGATTCTGCTCTCATGTGCAGTTGATGTTGAAAACTAGGGATATAAATATCAAAGTTCACTCTGTACAAAAGGCAACCAACCCATTGTACAAAAGGTACATCTTTTATCAGAAGTCTGTGTCTGATAGCTTTTTTTAAAACGTGCACACATATAGAATAATCCCTGTATGTGTTTTTAAAGACTTACGGTTGCTTGACCTGTTGCTTGCTGTCAAAACTGTATCCAGTTCCTCTGGTTTGCGCACTGACGTTTTCTGATATTTTTTGGCAAAGTCGCTTGTGTCTGTATCAAGTGCATTTATATACCTGTAGGAGAAAATCATAAAACCAAAACATTTTTTAAGACATCTCCAAGGTCAGTTTTTTGTTTTAAAGATATGCAACTTTTTTTTTGTATTTTACAGGATTAAGGCAGGCCTGAACACAAGCTGCTAAACAGCCTTGTCAAACATTAGAAAAGTACCCTGTTTACATTTGCAAAGACCTAACATAAAATAGCCAAGCGTCAAGGAGAGGAAAATACTGAATTTGTCTAAATGAAAAGGAGTTTATTAAGTATGCAGAACTGTTAAATAAAGAAAATGCATCGTACAGGCTTCGATATGTGTTGAAATGTACTTGTAAATAACAGGAAACCTGATCTCTGATGCAATAAATACAGGAAATAATCTGCTCAAAATGATTACAAAATGCTTGTTTTACACAACTTTCCTGCAGTCACTATTTGGATTCATTGTACAGTTCATCAGTTGTTCTGTGGTGTGATTGTTATGCACATAATTAATGATGTTATTAACATAAATATGATACTTATTCAGTGATCAAAATGTCTTGGGAACCACAATTTTAGGGGACTCACCAAAAACAATCCTCAGAGTTGCTCGGCTTCTTGTAAATATAGGTCGTCGTCCAGATAGGTTTCAACTTGTTGGTGTATTCCCAGAAGTTGATGAAAAAGGAAGAGATTTTGCGTGCTGGAGGCAGGATGCGCTGCAGGTTGAGCGTGTAATCGCAGGTGAGACCAAAACTTCCCGCAGAGATGATGGGCGTACTGAGCCTTAGACCTTGTTCAACACTGATGTGAAGATGTAGGGGAGAGGAAAAGAGATATAAATAGATATTGACATAATGTATGGAGGGGGAAATTGTAAGGTGCATCATACAGACAAATCCAATACAGAAACACATTATGTTAGGAAGCATAAGAAGAAAATCCCATATGCAAACCCTTTTTTATCTGCAAAAATGTGGACCTGACCTTCAAGAAAATGCACTTACTCAACCATTTGGAAAGTAGCGTAGGTGCAGGTAGGCCCAATCACTGCACACCCCAGGGTGCCTGAACTCTGCAAGGGAAAATAAATGAGTGTGAGCTTTTGTCTTTCTGTGTTTGTCAAGTTATTTGATTACATTATGTTTGATAGCTACGTCTGTGTACCCTGAATTTCTTTGCAGAGTTACTTGTGTCCACTAGATGCAGTTAAAGTAAGTGTGAAATAGCCTTGAAACAAAAAACTATTAATATTATATCTGTAGTGACCCTTTGGACACTGTTAAGCTGTTTATGTTGTGCATAGTCAAGATTCCTCCTACAGGATACAACTTTTTACCCTGAAGGTTACACACTAAGCACACAGGCCATCAGCGTTAGATGTACGATAATTACCATATTTGTACAGTCATTTTGCTTACTTTATTATAAATTATGACAAAAATTGCCATCATTTATGTTACTTTGAAGGTTTTGTAGAGCAGACAACATGTAACTGGTCTAGGATAGCAAAAATATGGATCCTGCTTCTGTGTTAATTCACATTTTTTCACATGACATTCCCAGGCAATCACACTTGATGTAGGCTCATTTTTTAAATTACACATTTACTTATGTGTTCTTGTGGTTAGCAAGTATGTTATGTGTCTTGTTGGGTGTTAAATTGTACTCACTAGTAGCGTCTTTAGCTCGTCCACTCCCTCACACGCACTACTCCGGCAGCCTTTGTGTCGATAAATGGTTGTGTTGAATCCGCCATAGTTAGCCGTGAGATTAAACGTTGCATCTTAATGTGGTTTGGGTAAAGAACAAAAAGGCAGAAAATATTTCATACATTCAAAAATATAGAAAACACGAATTAAACAGTGCGCATTTGTCTTCCTGTAACACAAGCTGCAAATGTTAGCATGTCCAGCTAACATTTGCACACTAAGATTAGCGGTAGCCTTACCCAGTGTTACTTCCAAAAGCTAATATTATATTATTTTGGGAGGTTACAGATACACTAAAAAGAATACACGTTTATGTTTTGCCCATCTACTTTTTAGTATTTTCCCACCGTGTGGAAGACTGTATACTTTATCACATTATTAGCTTGTGTAAGCTAAGGTTAGCTAACTAGCCATAGCCTTTTAGCATGATATAATGTGTGTTACCATGTGAAATGTGTATATTTAACAGCTCTTGACTAGGTTCTCATTGTAGTAAGGTCATCTTGAAACATTAGTGAGTCAGTCAAAACGTAGGGTTGAACAAACAAATGTAACGTTAGCTTAAATAGCTAGGTACTGTGATCAAATAGGCTACTAATGACAAGCTGGAAAACTGAAAAGATAAGATGATTTCGAGCCACAAAAAGGCCCTTTTTTTATTAAGAGTCAGTTGTTTTGAGGTTAATATATGTATCATGTGAAAACTGCATTATTATATTTTACTGAACATTTTGGTCATATCGTAATCATCATCATTAGCATTAGCATAATGTGTAGCAGCTTATGGTTATTTTTGCACTACTTTCATCATTTCAATATCATCATTACTTTCCTTTTTAATGTCATATAACCATATGCTGTACAGTTAGCTTTTCATGTTTGGTTATTTGAATGTTTATTTGACTATAGCCTATGTGTATTTTGTTGTGTTATTTCAACCCAGTCTCACGGCATTTCGTGTTATTAGTCACGAAATTAATTTAATCTATTGATTCGTGTTCACCAACACGATTTTTACATTTTTTTCGTGTCACACAGAACGATTTTAAATGCAATGTATTTCTATTGGTAGTATGTTTCGTGCCTGCAACACGTCTTTTTGTCCGGTCGGGTCTTGGAAGACCAGAAGCTGTGTGGTTCATAAAAACATGTTCTTACCCTAAGCCTAACCCTATCCCTTTTATTTGAAATTGTATAATGTCTGAGTTTTTTTGCCATCAGTGAGGAAAAGAAATGGCTCAGAGCCTCAGAATACTGAAATCTGTATTTTATGTCATCTTTTTTTCCTTCTAATTTGTTATTATTTGGTGCAGGCACGAAACATACTACCAATAGAAATACATTGCTTCTAAAATCGTTCTGTGTCAGAATACTTAAATCTGTATTTTTTTAAATGTGTTTTTCCTTCTAATTTGTTATTATTTACATTGCTTTTAAAATCGTTCTGTGTGACACGAAAAAAATGGCGAAATCGTGTTGGTGAACACGAATCAATAGATTAATTTCGTGACTATAACACGAAATGCCGTGAGACTGTGTTGGTTATTTGGCCTCAGACAGCCTACCTTGTTTTTGATTTATATGTGAAATGGTTTGGGTAAATAATGCACATTATCAGATCAAATGTAATGGCATGGTCTGTAATGCTAAATAAATACGCGTTCGACCTTATAATAACAAACAATAGGGGCCAATGATTAATCTTTGCCAGGGGCTCATAGCAGGTTAATCCAGCCATGTATAAATGAGTCAAAACTTAATACATTATTATCATATAGAACAGTGGTCAAGCTTAAACATTAAGCAAGCTTTATGGATGATTACTTCCCTTTTGTTCATGACCCATATCTGTTACACACTTTAAATCATATCTTATCTGTTATCAGCCATTGCTTCACTTGTCCCCTGATATCTGAACAGATAGACTTCTCTAGTCACAGTGTTGTTTAGTGAAACTCTTTCATAACTGTGAGACAATTTCTTATGAAAAGAGCTTAAAAAAACTGTAACACTAGCAATAAATGGTAAATATTGTTACAAAATATATCACAACAGTTATGCACAATACATACTTTTGCTGCTGGTAAATTAAGTATATTTGGATGCCAATACGTTCATACTTTTACTGACGTGAGATGTTGATTGCAGGACTTTTACTTGTATTTTTAATACAATTTAGTATTGCTACATTTACTGAAGTTAATACCTCTAAGTATTTCTTTCACCATTGCATAATTCTTTGCACGCATGTACATGGTTTTTATGTTGTATTTTATTACCTTCTGCAGCATTAATGGATGAATCTGTCTCTATGGCCTTCTCTATTTGTCCCCTCACAAACCTCAGACTCCAGGGAGACTCTTCATCCTCCAGCAGGATCACATTGATTGCAATCCCATTCAGACACCGTCCTCGACACTGAGCAGCGACAAAACCCAAGACGCACAAACACAACCAAAACCAACACGTTCCCATTTTCAGTCTCTCTAATTTCCAGGCTTTTTATATTGTTGAGCTGTTCATGTAGAGTCCATGATCTGGTATTCTGTCTTTTGTTTTTTTCTCTGTTCCGGATCCAGAGTCCAGTGCAGTCACCACAATGTCCTCTTAGACAAAGAAAGGTTGTCTTATCCACACGTGAAAAGCGTTTTTTTGCAATTTCCAGTACCCAAGTCCTTCTCTGAGGTGATCTCTTCTCACATTCACACTCCCTGTGTTCCTCTGAGTGGCCGCTCACCTGTCCTTTCCCACCTGAAGTTGTTAATGTACAACCTTTAAAGACACGGAGGAGGGCCATATAACCTTCTCTCTGTTGTTCTGCTAAGGTCTGAATGAATTACAAGCTTCAAACACACACTTTTAATGATTATACTGTGTGATACAGGATTGTTAGAGTAGTTAATGATAATATAACTGGATTTTTGATATTGTTTTCTGTAATAAGCTGCACTGATGTTCAACAGCAGGTTGATAGGGAGGTATTGAACAACAGTCCTTGTATACAATGTGTTTTATTTGGGTTCGAAACTCACATTGGGAGCAACACATGAAGGATGTATGTTCAAAGCTGGCTAGATCTGAGCTAGTCGGTAAACCCTTGTGAAATTGCAGATTTTTGAAATGTAAATCACAAATAAAACAACTTAAACTTGTTCCATTTTTGATCTGATCTTCCAACAAGTAAATATACAGAAATAAGAACCTTAAAAATCCATTCATTCTTTTTTTAAATAGAAGAACATTATTCAGCCCCACTAATACTTTCCCATTTTTTTTGTGAATTAGTTTCTCTTTGCACATTTAGACTTAGAATATTAATCAAATCTTCTTTGTAAAAAAAAGGTATTTTCAAATTACCAAGGAGGTTATGTTCTCAGTTTGTTTGTTTGTCTGTCTGTTTTTTCAACAGAATAACAGAAAAACTACTTGCCCAATTTTCATGAAACTTGGTGGGAGCATGGGCCAAGTAATGACCAATTATATTTTGGAGTGGATCTGATTTGTCTTGGGGAAGTTATGTGCTTTCCAATAGCTTTTGTATTTTAGAGTTTTGACAATCCTCCATGTTACATCCAATGCCGCAACAGCAGCTGACTTTAATTTGATTTTAATCAGAAAGCCATCAATAGACTGCAGGTCGATGCTAATTACCTACATGCATGACTACCTCCATTAGATTACATTGCATTTTTTTTTTTATACCTCCACCAAACCACCATTAGAAAAAGGGTGTGTAATCGTATGTAATCAGGTTCTGGTAGATTGTTATGCTTTGATTAGATATGACGAGTCACTGTGACCTCGCTCATTGCATGTATTTTGGCCATAACCCAGCAATTCAATAACCAATTGTGTGTCTAGGTGTGGACGTGCTTAGAAAGATGGTTTATGATTGTGACAGACAGATGACTCAATCGACTAGTCCTGTGTGTGTGTGTGTGTGTGTGTGTGTGCGTGCGTGCATGCGTGCGTGTGTGTGTGTGTGTGTGTGTGGACGTGCCTCCCATGCTGATGCACAGGCATGCACAGTGTCCATGGTTTCACAGGGAGGTGCTTTTGGCCTTTTGTCTGTTTTCTTTTCAAAGCTCCTCAGGCTCTTTTCCGCCACTGAATACTCTTTCAAAACAAAATCCATTTACTGGTATACTCTTCCTCTTATCCCCAGAGGAATATACTCTTCCTCTTATCCCCAGAGGAATATACTCTTCCTCTTATCCCCAGAGGAATATACTCTTCCTCTCCTTGTAGGTGTTGTATTTATGCCTCGTCACCTGTCAGAATCAACATCAGAATTCCTTTATTTGTCCCACAACGGGGAAATGTACATTATTACAACAGCAGAAGTATAGTGCAGATAAAGTAGAGAGAATAGACTTACATATATTAAAACAATAACAGAGTAGGCACACGTTAGAAAAAGTTACCATACAAAATATAGAAGTAGCCGATAATGTTTACAGGTTGTAAATGAATTACACACGGATATATTGCACAGAGTTTTATATTTACATGCAGACTTCTCCCCTGTGTGTGTGTGTGTGTGTGTGTGTGTGTGTGTGTGTGTGGTGTGTGTGTGTGTGTGTGTGTGTGTGTGTGTGGTGTGTGGTGTGTGTGTGGTGTGTGTGTGTGTGTGTGTGTGTGTGCGCAGCGTGTGTGTGTGTGTGTGTGTGGTGTGTGTGTGTGTGTGTGTGTGTGTGTGTGTGTGTGTGTGTGTGTGTGTCATTACCAACAGGACCCCATGAGAGTAAAAGCCTCTCATCATCAGTCATCTGCAGAATATGTCAGCTCCATTAGTTTACAAACTGGAAACGTTGATGGTGCTGCTGGGAACACTTGCAGTAATTGGACAGAAGCCAACCTGTAGCTTGATAGAGAAAATAGGAAACACTTACACTTGTGTGTGTGTGTGTGTTCACTGTACTGTATGTGTCAGGGACAGGTAGACACACAGCTTGTATATTTCTGATAGACAGTCCGGGGAAAGGAAACCAAGGAGAGAAAAGAGAAGCGCAAAGGTTGATCGGGCTGTAAAACTCATCCCAGATAACAAGCTGTAAAAAACACACACACACACACACACACACACACACACACACACACACATGTCTCTGATTCAGTTCAGAGTATCTGTTAATCTCTTTCACATGTACGCACATCCACACCTTGAAATACAGTCACCTGTTAACTGAATTAGGTTAATTACTCTGGTAGACAATTGTTTTTCCAACAATTTCTGCTCAATTAGTACTAAATCTTCATTTTAATGACTCACATGTATACAATCTACCTCAATTTGTATTTATTTGCATTAAATGTATGTGTATTGTATCCTTTTATTATATTTCAGTAGTAGTATTTTATATTGTGTATTCATTAGATGTTGTAATAAATTGCTAGTGATCAGATTTTTCCCACACTTCCTTGACAACACAAATGTTGCTCATATGTGACGCTTAAGGGACCAGCGTCAACCTGGTAATAAAAGTCTCTGTGTGTGTGTGTGTGTGTGTGTGTGTGTGCGTGCGTGTGCGTGCGTGCGTGCGTGCGTGCGTGTGTGCGTGCGTGTGTGTATGTGTTTGCTATGGTTCATATTCATAGTGTCGGCATTGTTATTATAATGTTTCCTTTGTGATGGCAATATGTATAATAAACCCAATAAAAACAGATCATTAAAACATCTTGTGTGTTTCTGTGTTGGAAAATCAGTTTGTACACATTTCCTGTTTAAACACGTGCAGAAATAAAGAAGAAAAGTACACATCCCTAAATCAAGGCAAACAGAGATTGAGTAGAAGACTGAATCAATAAGTGGCTCAGGTGATATCAGCAATGTGAAAAGTCAAAGAACTAAACAAACCAAGTCTGCATCACTCTGTCCAAAGTCCTGCCTTTCTGCAGGACTTTGGACTTTTTGCTTATTGGTGTGTTTGTTTTCTTCAATTGTTTCATTATCCCTGTCTGTTGCATTGATTTCTCTTTACACCTGAAACACGCTCAGCTTCAGGAAGATGACCGGGACCATGAGGGTCATTTTAGAGCACTCAAAACCATGACAGTTTTCTAAATGAACCATTGCAACATAGTTTACAATGACTCTTTAGTCATTCTTATTTTATGTTTTCATATTTTACGAGAAACTATACTATTTTGTCATATTTTTCGTCATAATATACGATAACTTTTTTCTGTTTTTCAAATTACTATACCATGACTCATTTCTCATAATTTCCGACATGACCTTTTTCAACTTACTATACTATACTATGACATACTATACTTTTACTTTCTCTCCAATTATTCCAACATATTGTACTTTGACTTTTTTTGACTTACTATAGGCTACTATTAATCTTTTGGACATACTATACAATTACTTTCTTTTTTGACTTACAATGAATTTCTCTCAGATTTTCCGACATATTATACTAGGACTTTTTTTCGGCATACTATATGCAATGTCATAATTTTCTCATTTAGATATACTATACTACCAGTTGTTTGCCTATTCATGTACGGACTTCTTCTTATTTATGGTGGTCTTATAACTCCATATTATGGGGTCCACATCACTGAGGTCCTGACATGGTCTCTTCACACCACCACCATCACCAAGAAAGCTCGACAGCGGCTCTTCTTCCTCCGCAGGTTGAGGAGGTTCAAAATGGATTCCAGGATACTCTCCAACTTCTACAGGTGCACGATAGAGAGTATCCTGACTGGGCAGCATGACGGCCTGGTACGGCAGCTGCACCGACCTCGATCGTAAGGCTTTACAGAGGGTGGTGAAAACTGCACAGCACATCACCAGGACGGAGCTGCCATCCATGGAGGACCTTTACTCCAGCGGCTCAGGAAGAAATCACTACGGATTATCAAAGACCCCCATCACCCCAGCCACAAACTGTTCTTTCTGTTGCCGTCTGGCAGACGTTACCGCAGCATCCGGGCAAGGACAAGAAGATTCGGAGACAGTTTCTTCCCGCGGGCAGTGAGACTGTTAAACAATTGAACTGTTGAAACAACTTCAAACATTCATCTGCTACTCAGTAGTATGTATCTAATACCTAATATATATATATATCATTCCAATAACTTGTATATAGACTCGTACTGCATCACTTTATTTTATTTTATAACTATTATTCTTTTTGTATTGCTCTTGCTCTTATTGTTATTATGTTATTATGTTGCATTGTTGGAGAAGCCTGTGACATAAGATTTTCAACTACATAATTACTCTGTAGCTATGTCAGATTGACAATAAAGAACCTTGAACCTTGATATAAGTGAAGAGTAGAAAGACAAAATAAGCACAGAACAATCTTTATGCTATCAAATAAAGTTTTATTCAAAATGAATGACAGAAGAAAGTGCCACAGTGATTTGCCAAAATCAAAAGTGCTTGCGAAAACAACCAAATGTGTTTTTCTCACAATAAGGAAACCAGTATAATGCAGAGTGCTACTAAGATGTTAAGTCATGTATCACCACATTTAATATAAAATTACAAAGAACAGCTCATAACATGCCGATTTCCAAAAACACAAAAACTGCTTGTTATTTTTGATAGTTATTAAAAGTTAGACAAGGAGTGTGTAGAAATTAGAAAGGGTTTTTTAAAGAGATATTAACAGGGTAGTATCATTAGAGTGAGGTGTGCAGTGTATTCAAACAGGCTTACATTTGCACAAATACTTATAAATGCAGCGTTTAATTACCAAACACCTGATGGTCTCGTAGTTACAAATGAAAATAAATAAGTCAATAAATAAATAGACTTTTAAAACGTACATCAGGAAGCTTTGTTTTTGCTCTTTTTCTCACAGTTTTATTAAACTTACCCTCATGTTCAACCTTCCTCAGCTCTCTGAAATCTAACTTGTTGATTATTTTCATTTCTTCTGACTTTAATCATTGTCCTCCAGATTACATATGCTTCGTAACGTTTTAAAACCACGCTTTATCTCGAGTACGTCTACAGATAATCACTCCATCCTCCATCCTTTCCCTGACCTTCCTCCCTGAACCAAAAACCCTCTGGTCTCGTTTCCAAAAACAGACCGTCATAGGAGCTGGCTACAATAACACTGGATTTCTACACTTGCCAAGAAGACAGAATACAGTAGCGCTACATTGTTAAGAAGGAAAATGATTCCCTATTTATAGAGCCTAACGCAGCTCTCGAGGCCAAAACGCATTAAGAGCTATTTGGGTCTCTGTCAGCTATACTTCCCACTTTAAGTGCATTGATTGTTTCCATCTGGCAGCCGTGCTCCTGCAGGGCTGAGCATCTGAAATCACTTTCAAATGTTGGTTCTCTGCAGGGATTCCTCATTGTAATCAGGGATAACAAATGCAACCATCTCGATTCGACTTTGTAAACACAAGAACCAATAAGGCATTATTGTGCATTTCTCCCATGTCTTTTGCAGGGAGTACATTGTTGAGTGTTGTAAGTATGAAGTCATTTTATTATAAGATGATCTGATAGTTAGCATCTTCCTGGTTCCCTCGACATAAAGCCATTGGGATTTTTCCATTGGATTTTGGAATATTGCAGAAAACAAGCTCTGTGTCAAACACATGTTTACAGTATGATACTTACACGTTTTGTTCACCAGGATAATGTTAAAAAAATAACCCTCCTTGATTTTGGAAGCGTTAATGGGGCGAAGCCTGCGAGCTAGTTCAGGCAGTCAACTCGAGCACCAATGATACATTAACACGTGACGCACCTCGTCCCTCTTACAACCAACCAAACACATTCTCCTAAACATGCCACTCTATTGAAGCTGCCAGGTCTTCCTGCCTCTGCCTCGCTCATGCTGCTGCCACTGCTGTGTTCACTTGCTATTGCTACGTTCATGTTCCTGCTGCTGTGTTTCATGTTGCTGCTGCTCGCCTGCCCCCACCACCACCCCAGCTTCCACCTGTAGGCTCGGGGGATAGTTATCTAATCATCACTCAATGTTCAATGTAAATCTGTGGAGTGATGAGGCCCGAGCCTAGACGCCAAACTCAAACTATATGCTGCTTATAATAAACATATTAAGAAACACGTGAGTTGTCGGACTGAAATACCTTATAAGTAAAAAGCTAACGTTAGGCTATAAAGGAACTACAGCACGGTCACATGACTTCACGTCACTGCAGCTAAGCTAAAGGCGGCTAATGTTAGGCAAGATTACTTTTATTAGCCTCATTTAGACACTTGTTAGCAACCGCTGTTTGAAAGACAAGTAGAAGCTTCAGACATTCACCAGTGGGGTATTTACTGACGTATTTCATGTCGTAGAACAAAAAGTTTAAATCTCTAAAGCTTGTGTTAACCACAGACCATATTTTAGGCTTCTATCCACAAACATGTTAAAAAAAACATTGACTTAGAGACGAGAGAACCAGAAGTGCTAGAATGCTAACTCATTTTGGTGTTTCAGGACTCATTCCTGCACTGCTCTGAGTCTGTAGCTCGTCCCTTGAGATGTAAACTCTCCTGCCTGTAGTGTGCAAAGTGGAGCGCCACTATAGCTGAACTGGGCCTCTTTGAAGGCATCACTTCTCTAGAAAACACTGATTTCCGAGCTAAAATATATTCCTTAGGTCAAAGTAAAACTGCACAAAGCCTGATCCCTTATTATAAAACCCTTATCATGACCCTAATGTTGACCATCAAAGGAGCACATTCAGACGTATACATTCAAAGCTTCATTCCCAACCCTCACCTCAAACTCCACCCATCATTGTTCAATAACCAAGACACTTCAGGTCGATCTTTCTTCCAAAAAACATCTAAATAAATCCCTGTTTCCTCTCCAGTGGGTCCTGGTCTAGGAGCTGATGATCTGTCCGGACCAGGTCTCGTGCTTGGAGACGGGGTTCAGGTGTGTGAGCCGCACCTCCACAGCCTGGATCTTCTGGTTCTTGGGTGGGATCGAACACACTTTGTACGTGACCTCGTCCCCCTCCATAGGCACATACTCTCCATCAATGCTGTCAACAAACACACACAAAATAGTTTGTTAACTCATGAGTCAGCACTGTGTGCTCCAAGTAGGTACTCGGTAGGTAAAAATGATTTCAACACTTCCATAAAGTTAGGGGATTTTCTCGAAACATTTCTTGCTTTTGTAAATATGGATTGTGGGTCATAAAAGCCACACACGCTTGCTGGGAAGTGATCAGATATAGTAGGACAAGCTGGTATTTTTGGCATTGCTAAATAGTAAGGTAGTGTTAGTAATAGAACGCATCCCCTGTCATATGATGTATAATACATGCAGTGTTTACTGAACTAGAGTTCACTCACTCAGAGATGTGGACGAAGATGTCTTCTCCTCCGTGAGACGGTTTGATGAAGCCGTGACCCTGAGACCTGGAGAAGTTTTTACAAGTTCCTTTAAAATACCGGACCTGACCTCGCTCGCACTGTCCTGCAGAGAGAGAGGGAGAGAGAGAGAGGAGAGAGAGAGAGAGAGAGAGAGAGAGAGAGAGAGAGAGAGATAGTAGAGAGAGCTAGCTCTCTCTCTCTCTACTTTCTTCTCTATCGCTCTCTCTATCTCTCTCTCTCTCTCTCTCTCTCTCTTTCCTCTCTCTCTCTCTCTCTCTCTCTCGTCTTTCTCTCTCCTCGCTCTCTCTTCTCTCTTTTCTTCCTCTCCTCCTTCTTCTCTCCCTCTCCTCGAGAGAGAGAGAGATCATTTTCTGATTTTTTTTCAACCAGATTATGGAAGCGGTTTTCAGCATATTATTTCAAAATGTAATTTACTGACCTGTGGTTCTAGGAAGTTGGGATTACTTTGTGGAATACCTGACCTCTAACTAGTAGCCTGACTGTAGGACTCTCACAAAAGGGCCTCTGTACAATTATTCTAATCAAGCATCATTTGTTGTTATTATTTTAATGTTATGATCGCTGTAGTGTCTGATTGGTAATCTTACACCTTTGAACCAGGAACACTTAACTAACATGTGTTGTAGCCTGACCTTCCTCTTTCTGTATGTCATGTGAGCTATGTACCATGTATGTTCATACATAAAAACTTTAATAACAAAAAATGTAGTTTACTTATATTTGTTGCATAATTGAAGTTCAAATATACATTTATAAGAGTCAACATTGATGTAAACGTTCATATAAGACAGAGAAAGTAGTCCCTTTTTGTATAGAAATGTATTTGTGATACAAAGGAGTAAAAACTTGATTTCCAGGCGTTTTCTACTCACGCTGAGTACGTCCGGGTGCGTTTGGTGGGCAGGGGGCTGGGCAGCTCTCGGGGCTGGGGGGGGGGTTTCCTCTCTCTCTCCCACACCCGGCTGCCCTCCCTGTGGAAGGGGAAGGAGAGCTGCAGGGGGGGGGGGCGAGATGAGGGGCAGCGGGGTGGCCGCCGCCGGAGAGGAGGCGGGTGTCGGGGTCGGACATCTTTAATCTGGTTTCTCTGCTTTCTGTCCCGATGAAGAAGAGGAAGAAGAGGAAGAAGAGGAAGAAGAGGAAGAAGAGGAAGGAGGGTCACACCTCTTGCATGGCAACAGTGTGAGGAGGGGGCTTTATTGTAGGTGGAGCAACAATGACCTGCAAAATATGAGCAAAGGTGGAAAGAAAGTAAGGTTTATAAACAGAGATGTCAAAAGTACACACATCCTTTACTCAAGTAGAAGTACAGATACTCGTGTTTAAAAATACTCTGGTGAAAGTAGAAGTACTGACTAAACTTCTTTACTCAAGTGAAAGTAAAGAGGGCTTTGAAATGTACTTAAAGGGGACCTATCATGCAAAATGCACTTTTGTACGTCTTTTATACATGAATATGTGTCCCCGGTGTTCCAGGGAACTCACCAAGTGTCAGAAAACACAACCCTCTCTATTTTCCTCCATACCCAAATCTCTAAAAAAGGGGCTGCAACGGATCTGATAAAAACTGATCCAGATTTGAACACTGTCCTGACGTCAGGACGGTGGCGCTACGGCTATTGGGCCAACTCCACCAATCAGGAGGAGACAGCCACGGCCATTGCCGTTCGAAAGCGCGGGAGACGCTGTAGTACATATGCCAGGCCAGTAGGTGGTGCTGTTCTCACTGAATCAGCCCTTACAAAAACAGAGCTAAAAAATGTCAAATTGAGCAAAATGAGGCATGGCTAAAATGCATGATCTGTTTGGTATTTTGAAAAAAAAAAAGTATAAATATGCCTTATATAGGTATGGTCCTACACTATATTATTCAAATATAGCATGATAGGTCCACTTTAAGTAAAAAGTACCCATAACTACCATCTGTTTTAAAGAGTACCTGACCTTCCTTTATATTAATAGAACAATAATGTCTAAATAAGGTCTAAATTGTTGTTGTTTTTTACATATAATTCAGCCTGATTGATGGTCATTCACCCAGATTGTTTGAAAAAAAGCAAATAATTGAGCAAATAACAACATTTCTGAGTATTCTTTCATAAAAAGCCACAGTTGCGTTTTGTAAACAAACTGGTATTCAATGGGTTAAAATTCTTAAAATTAATACATATTTTGGTAGTTTTTATCTGTGCTGAAGTTAGTTAAAAATGTACCTAAGTGAAAGTGGAAAATCCCATTAATATATAATATCATTATGGTCTTTTGACACATTTTTGTCTTTTTTAGGAAATCAGACGGCTTTTAAAATGAGGAAAAAATGTTAATGTCTCCAGACAGACGCCATTATAACTGCATAGGGAGAAATATTATTTAAATTGTCAAGTTAGTACTGTAACAATACAACTGATCAAAAACAGACCTATACATCTGCTCTGAAATGAACCGAAACCTGATTTCCTCCGGTTTAAAAGTCTTTCCGAGTTCCTTGTACGAAAATATCATTGGATTTCCCAGCAACAGGCCTTGTAATAGCTTGCTTGTCAAAACGTCCTAACATTACGTAAATAACAATCATTCCCTGGAGGGAGCTATTATATTAAAATTCCCTGTCGCACAAGACTGACATCCATGACAGGATTGCTCTTTGCAGTTTGTATTAAAACAACAAACTGCTCTCCGAAGCGTCATTTATTTTGGTCGATTAAACTCTGCACCGTGCCACGACACAAACACAATTATCCCGTAGTAAATGGGATTTGTTGTGTGCATCATTAGCTGCATATTCACTCACTAACGATGCAGAAAGCTGCAGGGCATTGATGTGCAGACGCTAAACCTGCAACACACACATGGTGTCACGATGAGCAGCCACCTCCTCGTGAACGTTAGTGTTGATGTCACATCTGCAGGAGGAATGTTTGGCAAGTCTGATGAATTCAGTGTCAGAGTGAATCCCACGGGATCCATTTAGTATCACACTCTGCCTCCCTGTCAGTCTAAATTTAGCAGAGTGTGTGCATGCAGGGCGGAGGCTTTAAAGATAACTCATCTTCAGGTGTATATCAGTATGTAGTGTCTCTACTTTAAAGAGTCCTCTCCTGCTGATGTTCAGGTGTATATCAGTATGTAGTGTCTCTACTTTAAAGAGTCCTCTCCTGCTGATGTTCAGGTGTATATCAGTATGTAGTGTCTCTACTTTAAAGAGTCCTCTCCTGCTGATGTTCAGGTGTATATCAGTATGTAGTGTCTCTACTTTAAAGAGTCCTCTCCTGCTGATGTTCAGGTGTATATTAGTATGTAGTGTCTCTACTGGGATATGTCTCCATGCTTTAATGTTCAAAAAGCTCTTTATTTTTCTCATACTGCCTGTGCTGCAGCACCTCTTTTCACCCTCTGTCTGAAACCAGAGCCTAGTCTGCTCTGATTGGTTAGCTGACTGGAGTTTAAGGTACACAAACATTTCAGAAATGCAAAAAAAAGGGTCTCCATAAGGTAAACTATGACAGTTTAGGAGGAAGACCTTGTTTACAGTTAGGTTAAGCGTAAAATAAACTTGATTTTAACTATGCGTTAACTCGTGCATGATGGATGCCTTCCTGCTTGCGTTGGTTATTCTGCAAAGCCAAATCAATATACTGTAAGTGTTTCCTATTTTCTCTATCAAGCTACAGGTTGGCTTCTGTCCAATTACGGCAAGTGTTCCCAGCAGCACCATCAACGTTTGTAAACTAATGGAGCTGACAGATTCTGCAGATGACTGATGATGTGGGGCTTTTACTCTCATGGGGTCCTGTTGGTAATCTCACACACACACAAACACACACACACACACACACACACACACACACACACACACACACACACACACACACACAGGGGAGAAGACTGCCTGTAAATATAAAACTCTGTGCAATATATCCGTGTGTAATTCATTTACAACCTGTAAACATTATCGGCTACTTCTATATTTTGTACGTAACTTTTTCTTAAAATATACTGCTACTACTGATCTACTCTTTGTTATTACTTATTGTGATTTGTATTATTAATAACGGGTGCCTACTCTGTTATTGTTTTAATATATGTAAGTCTATTCTCTCTACTTTATCTGCACTATACTTCTGCTGTTGTAATAATGTACATTTCCCCGTTGTGGGACAAATAAAGGAATTCTGATGTTGATTCTGACAGCTACAAGGAGAGGAAGAGTATATTCCTCTGGGGATAAGAGGAAGAGTATATTCCTCTGGGGATAAGAGGAAGAGTATACCAGTAAATGGATTTTGTTTTGAAAGAGTATTCAGTGGCGGAAAAGAGCCTGAGGAGCTTTGAAAAGAAAACAGACAAAAGGCCAAAAGCACCTCCCTGTGAAACCATGGACACTGTGCATGCCTGTGCATCAGCATGGGAGGCACGTCACACACACACACACACACACACACACACACACACACACACACACACACACACACACACACACACACACTTTAAACTTTAAATTAGCCTTTTTGTAAGTATTTTTACACACAAACAGTGTTTTATGGTTTGATGCGTTTGAGAGTGAAAGCTGGCTGAGTTTAAATAATTCATTTCAATATAAAAGCCCCTGCAGGCGCCTTGTTTCCAGAACATTCTCTTCAGCTTCGGAGAAGATAAGACGAGTATACAAAAATGTATACAAAAATGTGGCACAAAAGGCGTGTTTCAATATAAAAAACACACAGAAAAGAGGGTAAATATGTGCTATAATAAAGCCATTTTTGTCACAATAATGTCGCTGTCTAGCCCCACAGAGAGAATCAAAGACTCGGCTGTGTAAAAGCTACAAATCCTCCACAAACACCCATCGATTTCATGATTACTTACCCGTAAAAAAGCGCCGATTATCCGCCAGTCAGACCCGTGTCTTGCCCTGATACGAACCCCAGGTTATGCAATGATTTCCGGGGACATGCGGGGAATAAGTGAGAGGGTCTTGGTATGGATGTGCACACACAGGCGGGATAAAGCGAGTGAGAGGGAGGGAGGCAGAGATGGAGAGACGGAGGAGGTGCAGGGGGTTACTGTGCTAAAAAAAACAACAGCGGGCTTCACCCTCAATACAGGCACCTCTTTGTTCTCCTCATGCATGGAGATGTTACTTTAGGGTTGTTTTTTTTTTTTAAAGAAGGGAAATGAGGGTAGATTTATTTCATTTACTCTATAGCTGTGTGTGAGCTATGATGAATGTCCGGCAAAAATAAAATAAATGCTTATTCAATTAGATATCTTTCAAATAAGAAGTTTCAATTTACATGCAGCTTTTCCACAAACTCGTTTTGGGTGTTTTTCCTTTCCTTTAGTGTGTTTTATAGAGTTTAGTGCATGTAAAACTGAAACGACTCCATTGGACTCCTTCGTTTACTTCCTGAACATATTGACATCACTATGTAACACATGTGCTTCTATTGGCAAGCACTCCAACACATTGTATGTGATAGGCTAAGGGGCGGGACATCTCTAAGCGGTTGACCAATCACAACAGGGCCGGCCAGCTAACCAATCAGAGCAAACTGGGCTCAGCAGGAGAGGACTCTTTAAAGTAGAGACACTACATACTGATATACACCTGAACATCAGCAGGAGAGGACTCTTTAAAGTAGAGACACTACATACTGATATACACCTGAACATCAGCAGGAGAGGACTCTTTAAAGTAGAGACACTACATACTGATATACACCTGAACATCAGCAGGAGAGGACTCTTTAAAGTAAAGACTCTACATACTGATATACACCTTGAAAGAGCTCCAGACATCTATCAAATGGATAAGAGGAGGAGACACACGTCCTATTATAGCGGGATGACATCATTCAGAAATGGACACCATGATAATGAACAAGTGATTTGTATGAGTAGAAATATGCAGCTGAAAACTTCTTGACACAATAAAAAACCAAACACAAATAACTCACCGGAGCCGATGTAAATAAATGAGATCTGTGATTTTTTTTATTTTACAACCCGTTGGCATTTCTGTAATACAGAAAAGATAATCTGGGAGAAAAATAACAACACATTAATGTACAAGAAATCAGACATTTCACATACAGTCCTTGAGAGAATGGTTTTAGCCTTCAGCTGATTGACCTCTGGATGTTTTCAGTATGATGGGACCGTAAAGGGGAATTAAAACACATCTTGTTTCTCATCTGTACTCCGGTTTGGGTTCATAACATCCACTTAAAAACACCAGAAACAGCTGTCATAGTAATCTGGAGTTATTATCTTTGTACTTATTTAAAGCAAGGGATAATTTACAGTCTGACATCAGTTATGAATTTCTCCAAGCACCATTACAAAACTGATTGTACCGATGTTTTGTTTTTCAATTCAGTTTTGTTTTTTGAGGTAAAAAGGAACACAAACAGTGACACGTTACCCTGCAGAAAAGGGCACTGGAGACCACACAGGTCCATGTTTAACCCGTGTGTTATTTAAAAAGAGTTTTATGGAAAAAGCATGCAGCATGTGAACCATTTGCAAGATCAAATATATAAATAAATAAACAAACAAACTAACAAGGTGTGGGGAAACCTTAAGATGCTTTTGACCTTGTTGAGAGGTTTAGGATTGATCGGGAGGGCAGTTTAAAGAAGGTGGCAGTGATGGAATCAGGGAAGAAGAATAGGAGTTTCACTTTGTTCTTACACACAGTATTAAAGCGTACAAGTCTTTCTGTATATGAAGTAAAGTCTGCAATTGTTCTCTGTAACCTTTTGACAATGTGTACTGTGATTAAAAGACATCATTTGCTAAAAAAAGATGCTCCCAATGCAATCAACTTTCTCTCAAGCTGCCCCATGCCTACGTTTCCCAGAATGCCTTTCAGCAATAACTACAAATCAGCTGGGTCTGCTACACCAGGGTTGGTTTAATGACACATTTTCATGCAGTGTGTGCAACAAAATCCTCCAACAAGTGTGTGATCATCTGGCTTAGCTCTAGTAACGTTATCAGCTTAATGTGTCAAAGTGTGTGTGTGTGTGTGTGTGTGTGTGTGTGTGGGTCCAACAGACTGATTTTGAGTTGGTTTTCACCGTTTGACTTAGCAGCGTACAGTACTGACCGCAGAGCAGTTGCTTTTGTTCCCTCATCAACATCGTCTGAACTTATCAACACGTAACTCTGAGGTAAAGCGACACATTTCTGATGCAGCTGACGGAGCAATCATTAACTAAATTCTTCATCCTTCATCCTTCCCCCCCCTGTTCCCCCCCCCTTCTCCCCTGAAAATCCTCCTCACTCCTCCACGTGTTTGCTCTGGGCTCCTCACATCAGCTCCTTCATCCTGTTCAGGGCGGATCCTGCCTGGAACCATTCGATCTGCGTCTCGTTGTAGCTGTGCAGCAGAACGATCGATTCCTCGCTGCCGTCGCTGTGCTTCAACACCGCCGTGACAGGCTGCGGAGAACAAGGAGAAGTTGATATAAAAAGACACTTTTCATGCACAGCTGTAGAAAATGAACTCCAAACAAACCAACCACTGTCTGTTATGTCTGTTTACCTTTCCTGGAGCGAAGGTTTTCAGTCCTTGGATGGAGATCTTGTCATCGGGGCAGATCTTGTCGTAGTCCGAAGGGTCGTTGAAGGTCAGAGGCAGAACACCCTGCTTCTTCAAGTTGGTTTCTGGAGATAGGAGGGAGACATGTTTGTTTATTGAGAGGATAGATGGTGAGGTGAAATGCGTTTATTCACATCAAACTTGAAACTTCAATTAAAGCTGTGGGATCATTTGCGTATGTTTCTTTGCAAGGCTGAATAATCTGGTTTACTACAGTGTTAGTGTTAAATTACAACATGCTGTGATTTCATTGTAAATAAACTGTTCAATATTTCCTCCCATTATCGTGCCGTACCGTGAATTCTGGCGAAGCTCTTGACGATGATGGCTCTTCCTCCCAGGTGTCGGGGCTCCAGCGCAGCGTGCTCTCTGCTGCTGCCCTCGCCGTAGTTATCGTCTCCGACCACAACCCAGGACACACCGTTAGCCTACAGGAGGAAAAGACAAACAGTGTTAATCAGATTTATACTCCTGCTGTAGAAATGTATTGTTAGGTTTTTGATGTAATGAAACATTCGATGGATTGCACATGACGCTTCATTTTCCTTTAACTATATTCCCAGCAGCTACTGTGTATAAAGTATTGTGAGCTTTTGGTTAAGAACCCAAACATTTTCAAATAACGATGGTGATGATAGCGATGAAAACCCTCATATTTGCTTAGACAGGATTTTCCTACATGTTTGCCAATTCTTTTTTGTTTATCAACTACATGATTGATTAAATAATCACGGCAGCTCTAAACGCCATCACCAGTTTTTAGAGAAGCGGTTAATTTATTGAGGGGAAAACAGGAGTTGTACACAATAATATATTTATATTTTAGGGCTGTCAAGTTAACTCGTTAATAACGCACATTTTTTTTAACGCCACTAATTATTTTAACGTGCGATTAACGCATGTGCATTTGTCCTCGGCCGCCCCGTAGTTTCAGAGCCCAAAGGCTTGACGTTGTTGTTAGTTGGATGGTGGGAGATTCTAGCGAGAGATATGGATACAAGAAAAGGTGTTTTAAACAGCAAGCCAAGCACACAGCTGATGCTGACAGCCCCGCTCGCTTGCGCTTTAAAGTTTACCGGGGAGACGCCTGGACAACAACAGCGATAGCTAAATGGGTGGCTACAGCTTAACATTGTGGAGGACGAGGGGCTGCGTGAGATAATTCGGATCGCATCCAACGTGTCGACTGCACATCACAACGCATTATTTTGACCCACAGTGGGAACTTCAGTCTCATGCTTTGACTGGTATGAAGACAGAGGAGCGACCACTGTAAACAAGGCTTGTCTGTTTGAGCAACTGGCTCAGTGCAGAGAAGTACACAGGGTTGGGGAGAGAGAGAGAGAGAGAGAGAGAGAGAGAGAGAGAGAGAGAGAGAGAGAGAGAGAGAGAGAGAGAGAGAGAGAGAGATTCCAGGTTGTTGTGTTGAGAATATTCAGGAGAATATTTGTCATTGTTCAAATGATAATAAACAAACATTTGCATAAAGCATATTTGTCCACTCGTATGTTGATAAGAGTATTCAAAACTTGAAAAATATTCCTCTGAGGTACATTTAGGACAGATAAAAAATGTGCGATTAATTTGCAATTAATCGCGATTAACTATTTTAATCGACTGATAGCCCTACTATATTTATGTCTGAGTATGAGCCCTCAATTCTAAGTTGGCGACTTTTGAGTTTCAAACATTAAAAAACGACATCCTTATTCCATAATGATTAAAAAAGGACCAAAACAAAAAAGTTAAAGCAACGAGACGGACGCGATTCTGTTCAGAGCATAAATAAAATGCAGAAGTTGGAGAATGACTTAAAGTGGACCTATCATGCTATATTTGAATAATATAGTGTAGGACCATACCTATATAAGGCATATTTATACTTTTTTCAAAATACCAAACAGATCATGCATTTTAGCCATGCCTCATCTTGCTCAATTTGACAATTTCTAGCTCTGTTTTAGCAAGGGCTGATTCAGTGAGAACAGCACCATCTACAGGCCTGGCATATGTACTACAGCGTCTCCAGCGCTTTCGAACGGCAATGGCCGTGGCTGTCTCCCTCCTGATTGGTGGAGTTGGCCCAATAGCCGTAGCGCCACCGTCCTGACGTCAGGACAGTGTTCAAATCTGGATCAGTTTTTATCAGATCCGTTTGCAGCCCCTTTTTTAGAGATTTGGGGTATGGGAGGAAAATAGAGAGGGTTGTGTTTTCTGACACTTGGTGAGTTCCCTGGAACACCGGGGACACATATTCATGTATAAAAGACGTACAAAAGTGCATTTTGCATGATAGGTCCCCTTTAAAGTTTGTGAATCCCACTTTTTAATTATTACAATGCTAAAGGTCAGACTAACTGAGGAGATCAGTAGTGTCTCGTTAAAGATCAGCTTTAGGCCAATAACTACGTCTCCCTCTATCTCCCCTCACCTTGTAGTGGCGGGCCACGTCAGGGACTCCATCGTATTCCCCCGTCAGGTAGTTCTTCAGCGTGTTGATGGCTTCGTTCTCGATGTTGACGGCTCCGATCAGCATGTTGTTGGAGATGTTGTCAAGGTGACCGCGAAACTTCAGCCACGGGCCGGCAGCGCTGATGTGATCTGTCGTGCATTTCCCTTTCACCTGCAGAGAAGAAATCAATTATTAACATATCCCAGTGATATAAATAGATTTAAAATGTTGCAATCATTATATCACAACATTTTCCACTAAAACAACGTGGTTTGATGTAACCCTTTGATGTGAACGATCAGACCATTGTGATCATTCAAGTACACTAATGTGAATTTAGAGGCAACGCAGCTCATTAATAGAAGACATTTTCAGAATGTCTCTTCTCATTTAGAAGCGATATTGGTCTTGTGTTTTATAAAAATGTTTAACTGAATATTGACATGATTGAAATTCTGACAGTTCGGACACAGTAGTTTATAAAACTTATGAGTAACTTAATTTACTTTTAACTAATTATGTTTCTTTACTTATTTCATTTTGACAGACTGAAAGTGATTTATTAAATGATTAAGAAATTGAAATAATGTTCAGAGAAAGGTGGCTTTTATTTTTAAAATCAGTTCAAACTATGTGGGGGATAGTTTGAACATGTTTTTTTTTTTTAAGTGGAGGCACATCATACAACATCTATTCAGACTCCAACACGTCTAACTTTGCTTTGTTTGCTTCACTTCTTTTCCAGATCTTTCCATATAATCTATTTCCCTTTAGATACTTCTGCGAGACAAGTGAGACGCTAAAGCCACTTTTTGACAGCGTCCTATAAGAAAATGACATAAAAATGTGTACTCCATGTTCAAAACTGATTTCCTACATCCCACTTTGAGCAAGCCACCCGTAGATTGAGTATATTCAAGATTATCGCGCAGTCCTGCAGTGAGAACATTAAAGGTCCCCTATTATACTGTTTTTCATCAATATATTACAGGTCTCAGATATATACAGAGCCTGTCTCTGATTGGCTGAAACACCAAACAGATCATTGCAGCATCCCATAATCCCCTCTGTTTCAGCTCTGTTTCAGCCCTGTTTCAAAAGTGCTGATTCTCTGTCTGTTTACTTTAGATGAAAATAAGGAAGCCCCTCCCCACGCCCCTCTGAGAGAGATTTGGTTTAAAAAGAACTCAATGGTGCTCTAGGAGGAGATTCAGGTTGATATGGTGGTGGGGGGGGGGGGGGGGGGGGGGTTACCTTGGTTGGTGATTGGCTAATGGTTACACAAGCCAAAACATCGTTTATGACATCATAAAGTGGCCAAAATCTGATCAGCTCATTTTCAGACAGGTTTTTATATAAAATGGATCAGGACAAAAAGAGAGAGAATCTTTGTTCCTGAAAACTTTCAGAGTCTCTTTCCACAGAGGGGACACATGTTGATGTAGAAGAGACATGAAGAAGAGGGGACACATGTTGATGCAAGAAGAGACATGAAGAAGAGGGACACATGTTTGATGTAGAAGAGACATGAAGAAGAGGGGACACATGTTGATGTAGAAGAGACATGAAGAGACGAGGGGACACATGTTGATGTGTAGAAGAGACATGGAAGAAGAGGGGACACATGTTGACTGTAGAAGAGCACATGAACGAAGAGGGGACCACATGTTGATGTAGAAGAGACATGAAGAAGAGGGGACACATGTTGATGTAGAAGAGACATGAAGAAGAGGGGACCACATGTTGATGTAGAAGAGACATGAAGAAGAGGGACACATGTTGATGTAGAAGAGACATGAAGAAGAGGGGGACACATGTTGATGTAGAAGAGACATGAAGAAGAGGGGACACATGTTGATGTAGAAGAGACATGAAGAAGAGGGGACACACTGTTTGATGTAGAAGAGACATGAAGAAAGAAGGAAGACTGGAGGACACATGTGATGTAGAAGAGACATGAAGAAGAGGGGACACATGTTGATGAAGAAGAGACATGAAGAAGAGGGGACACATGTTGATGTAGAAGAGACATGAAGAAGAGGGGACACATGTTGATGTAGAAGAGACATGAAGAAGAGGGGACACAGGTTGATGTAGAAGAGACAATGAGGAAGAGGGGACACATGTTGATGTAGAAGAGACATGAAGAAGAGGGGAACATGTTGATTTAGAAGAGACATGAAGAAGATGAGGGGACCACATGTGAGTAGAAGAGACATGACAGAAGACAGGGGACACATGTTGATGTAGAAGAGACATGAAGAACGCGGGGACACATGTTGATGAAGAAGAGACATGAAGAAGAGGGGACACATGTTGATGTTAGAAGAGACTGAAGAAGAGGGGACACATGTTGATGTAGAAGAGACATGAAAGAAGAGGGGGACCAATGTTGATGTTAGAAGAGACATGAAGAAGAAGAGGGGACACATGTTGACTGTAGACGAGAACATGAAGAAGAGGGGACACATGTTGACGTTAGAAAGAAGGACATGAAGAAGTGGATTTTGCATAATAGGTGACCCTTTAATACATTAACTACAACAGGAGGTGTTTTAATTTAAAAGGCTCTGACCTTTGATGAGGATCCTCATGTCCTCGAGGTCCTCCTCCGCTCCACTTGTCGAAGGGTCTGTGAGCAGCTGCAGCCGGTTGCTCTTCGGGCTGGACGTCCACCTTCAGGCTGCTGCCGTCGGGGGGGGGGGTGCTGGTAGGTGTCCTGGCCCGGGTCGAAGTCCTTGGCAGGGAAGCTCGTCTCCGTAGGGGGGGTCCAGCATGAACTTCTCTCCGTTGGCGGCTGTGAGGTAATCCGTCTCCGGGTCCAAAGTTCAATGTGCCGGCGATCGCCATGGCAAGTGACAATCTGAGGAGGGAGAAGTGGAAAGAAGACATTAAG